GATCGTTGCAAGTTTGAGACCAGCCTGGGCTACAAAGTGAGCTCAAGGCCAGTCTGAACTGCATAGGGAGACCCTGTCTCAAAAAGACAAAAATAAAATAAAATAAAATAAAAATAAAAATAAAAGCAAGACTAAAACTATAGATTATCTACCAAGGTCAATGCAGTCACCATATGCCCTTGCAACTATTGGATCAATACTACCTAAGCAACTACACTTGCAATTGTACAAAATTTTGACCCACACTGTACCACTTCATCATTTTGCTCTATAAATCTTCTTTTGAGAAGTGGACTCACTGGCAACCCATTTGGGACCCCCTCCTGTCTCTCAGGAGCTATTCCTATTCCCCAATAAACTTTCCTACTCTTTCTGTTTGCTTGTTTGTTTTGTTTTTTTTTTTTTTTTTTCCGGTACAGGCAATGAAACTCATGACCTTGCGCTTGCCAGGCAGGCGCTGTGCCGCTGAGCTAAATCCCCAGCCCCAAACTTGCCTACTCTTAACCTCCTCGGTTGTTTCTTCTAATTCATTCTTTGATTTCAGGGAACAGGAACTCACATATCTGATATCTAGCTTATCTCCTGTATCAATAAGTAGAAGGGAGACCATTATTAGATGTGATTATATTATAGATAGCTAAGTTAGGCAGAAATATTGTAGGCAGGCAGAGAGGGCTGAGAGCCCCGAGAGGTCAATGCAGAAGACAACTGTGGCTGGAGGCAGACTCAATGAAGGCCAGGCTCAAGGAAAAGAACTATTAACTCGCATTCTTCCCCTAGCGATCAACAGCAGTGACTGATATTCTAAGCAGGCATCAATCACCTTGGGGTGGAGGACCACACCTGACACCACCCCTTCCAGGAAAGTCTTTGTCCCGCACAGGGTTAGCATACTTGTTATGTTACTTACTTCTCCCTTTGCTCCCCCTGTAATCAGTATTACCCTAGGACTATCCTTGCTGTAATCTTATTTGTTGACCATAGTTTTGTCCCACCTCACAACCAACCAATGATTTGCCACTGGATCAATTTACCTAAGCGACTATAGTTGTAATCTTATTGATTGGCTCTAGTTCTGTCCCATCTTAAACCCACCTCACCTTGTGGCTTTGCTCAACAAAACACCCTTGAGAAGCGGGGTTGTTGGGCAATCCACTTTCCGGACCCCAGAGTCAAAACTTTATTCAGTTAAAAGTTTATTCAGCTAATGGATTCTGTATTCCTCCCACTTTCTTTGCTTTTGAAGTTTCTTGACTGCAGTGTGCTATTATTATTACTGTAACTTTAAAAAACCATTAGCTCAGCAGAGTGGGATGTACCTGTAATCTCTGCACTCTGGGAGACTAAGGCAGGAGGATCACGAGTTCCAGCCCCACCCGGGTATCTCAGAAAATTAGTGAAACCCGTCTCAAAGTAAAAAAAACAAGAATAATAAAAAGGGCAGGGGAGGTGTATGTCAGCCCATAGAACCTGGGTTCATCCCCTTGTACGGCAGAAACAAAAACAAACACAAAAATTACCTTATTTACTAGGAACATAAGAAAGCACAAAAGAAAAAACACATAAACCAATTTAACAAGATCAAATGTTTCATTAAATCTGAAAAATCAAAATTCTGTGGACCCTTAGATGTGGCAGATGTCTTCTTTCCCATTTTTGCTTAATGGCATCTACCTGATTTAAGGCTTTTTATATAGAAGTATCTTCCCCTCCACATCACCAAGTATATATTTAAAGCAAAACAATTTTAATCAAATTCACATGCAGATTATATGGGCTCCGTCCAACTCCTCTTATCCTAATCAACCAGAACGGCAGTATCGCCAGACTTCACACAGTTCTAGAATAATTTTCTTTGATACACATTTCATATCATTATGAAATGATATGGCCTGTTTAAAAATATGTCTCATAAAACCAACTCCTTCTCCCATCTTATTAACTCTTGAGAGTATTAGCAAAATTTTTAAAGATATTTATTTTCTACCTTTTTGGTTTTAAATTTTTCTTTCTATTGGAAACTGAAGAAAATACGAATAAATGTTACCTGTATTTCTTACTAGTTTTACTTACTCAAAATATAGTAAACAAATACTTCAAAGTCTGTGGCATCTGTAGCTATCTTTCAAAATGCCTCAAAGAGATGGTACACTTGAAATCAGCAAAGGAAATTTATGTCCCAAAACATAAAAATTCTATAGTAAAATTGAAAATGCCTCTTTTTAAAAATTTGAAGTATAAATATATATGCGTGTGCTTAATTTTTATTCATAAAAGATACAAACTTAATAAGGTAGTTCAGAAAATAAAGATAATAAAATGAACACTTATGATCCCCTTAGCTTAAGATTTTCAAGCTTACTTACAATGAGGTATGAAGGTGCACCCTGAAATCCCAGCACTTGGGAGGCTGATGCAGGGAGATCATCAATTCAAGGACAGCCTGACCTGTACAGTGAGACCTTGTCTCTAAATAAATAAAACCTTACTTGTATATATATATATATATTTTTTGGTCTTTTTGAGACAGGGTCTCACTATGCAGTTCAGGCTGGCCTTGAGCTCACTTATGTAGCCCAGGCTGGTCTCAAACTCACAATGATCCTCCTGCCTCAGCTTCCCCAAGTGCTGGGATTACATGCGTGCACCACCATGCCTGACCTTACTTGTATCTTAGAAGCTTTTTTATATCCCTTCCATATTAAGAATCTGTTATCCTAACATATGTTAATTATTCTCTTATTGAACTCATCAGTTACTCTAAATATTTACTGTTTGTTTGGTTTTTTTTGTTTTATTTTAAAGAATAAAAGAAGGATAACATAATAATAGGGGCAACTTAGCAAATTACAGACAAAATGGTAGGAAATTATCAATGGTTATCATTTTACATATTATTGTCTACAAAATAGTTTCTCAGGAAAACAAATAGACAAATAATAGTGAGTTACAGACAAAAGAGGTAGGAGATTATCAAGAGTTGTTGTATTATACTTTGGTATCTTCAAAGTGGCTTCTAAAGAAAATAAATAGAGCTATACATGAGTGACCTACTGAAAAATCATTAACTCTTCTCAATGGTTGTTGTAGGAAACACATAATAATAAACATACATCCATTTATGAAATAGGATAGGGACATTACAAACTTTACACAGTTATGGATAGATTAGTAGGAAAATATCAATGGCTGCTGTAATACGTGGTGGTATCTTCAGAGTGGTTTCTCAGGAAGACAGAGATATGCAAGAGGGATCTAACAAGCCTAAGGGTTGTCAAAAATAGCATATTACCTCCTCACCAGTGACTCCTTTCACTGAGGTATGATGGCTGGAAGGAAGGCCAGGATTGAAAAGAAGGACCGAGAGACTTGCACCTGTGTCTAGCAGCAGGCTGTTTTCTTGTTCCTCCATAGTCATGATTACCCGGGGCTCCTCCATGGAGATGACAGTCTAGCCAGAGGGAGAAGGCAGAGTATGCCCCGGGCCCCCTCATTCCTGTTGGACTAACTGGTAGCATGGGTCTGAGCTCTGGGGCCTCCACCTCAGAGGGCAGACCGATCGGCAGGAGGACAGTTTCTCTTTTCTTTTCTTTTCTTTCTTTCTTTCTTTCTTTCTTTTTTGAGATAAAGGAAGCCTTCTAGTATCACCTCCAAAGGCCTCGCTTTGAAAAAAAGTTGCATTAAATTGTTAAGACAAATGTTCAAAGCTACTGTACTGGGGTAGGTTCAGGTAAAATCATATCTGCTTTGATCTATTTGTTCTACTTTGATCCTATTTGTGAAGCTTCCCCGATCTCCTGTTCCATTAAGTTCCATGATTACTTCCAATAATAGATACTGACCTACACTGTTCCACATTGTGAGCACTGCCAAACTGCAAAGAAAATACTTAGGTGATGCCGGGCGTGGTGGCACATGCCTGTAATCCCAGCACTTGGGAGGCTGAGGCAGGAGGATCGTTGCAAGTTCGAGACCAGCCTGGGCTACAAAAGTGAGCTCAAGGCCAGCCTGAACTGCATAGTGAGACCCTGTCTCAAAAAAGACCGAAAAAAAAAAAAAAAGAAAATACTTAGGTGTGTGGGGATGGACCCCCAGGGCCTTGGGCATGCTAGGTAAGCACTGTACCACTGAGGTAGGTCTGCAGCTCTTTATATTTTTATTGTTTTATAATTATTTATTTTTGGAGTACAGGGAATTGAACCCAGGGGTCTCCCCTGCCCTTTTTTGACATACGGTCTCACGAGTTGCCCAGGCTGGCCTTGAACTCGCAATTTTCTTCCTTCATTCTCCCAAGTGGTTGGGATTTCAGGCTTGTGTTGCCATATCCGGCTTTATTATTATGTTTTGCACTACTGAAGATTGAACCGGGCCCTGTGCAGTGAGCTACAACCCCAGCCTTCGTTAAACATTAAATAAATTTTTTTTGAAACAAGGACTCATTAGAGTTGCTAAATTGCTCAGGTTGGGCAAAGACTTGCCATCCTCCTGCTTCAGCCTCCCAGAGTGTAGGAATTACAGGTGTGTGTCACCACACCTGGCTTTTACTTTGATTTTTAAACAGCTAAAACGGTAACAGGTGGAGAGAAGAGTTGGCCACCCTAAGTGAGGAGGTGTGAACTGTGGAATTTGGGAAGTATTTAAAAAACCGGGGGAGGGGCTTGGAGCACAATAGGACGTAGGTTTTTAGGCTCTTCTTTCCTCTTCAGAGGTTACATCAGGCGGGAACGGGAGCCCCCAGACTTGCTCTTCCCTAGGCGAGAAAGCCATTCCAGGCCGCCAGCCATCGGACACCGGAGCGGCGGAACCCAAACGCGCGGGCCAGGTCGTCCCGGCGGCGGGAGGCAGCGGCCCGCCCCGCGGTCACGCCGGGGCGCTGGTGGGCGGGGACCGGGCGGGTCAGCGAGTTCGGCGATTGTGTCGAGAGGCTGCGGGCGGAGCCCAGGGCGTGCGCGGCGAGGCGCGGAGGGACCCCGCCGGGAGCGTCGGACCGGCACGCGGAGACGCCAGGGGCGCGGGGCGGGGAATTCCCAGTCCCCGCCCATTTCCCCGCCCTTCCCCGCCTCCTGCGGCCCCTCCCCCTCCTCCCCGCTGGTTGGAAAGTTTCTAGAATCTCTTCCCAGCGGCCTTTGCGGTTCCAACATGGCGGAGCTGACGGTGGAGGTCCGCGGCTCCAACGGGGCTTTCTACAAGGTATTGGCCCTTTTCCCGCCCTGTCTGGTGTTCGAGGGGCTGGAGCGGGCTGGGGGCAGTGCCGGTATTTCTGGGCGGTGAACTTGGGGGTCGAAGGGGCGGCCGGGCCGAAGCCCGAGGCCTCCGGCGTCCTGGCTTCTCCCCCCTCTGCTCGCGGTTTAACGGTCTCAGGGGCCCGGCTCCGTTATGTTTTGAAACAACGCGTCGGACACCTCCTGCTTGTTCCTTCCCAGTGAGCCGCCTTCTTGGGCGCTAGGCGGGCCCGCGGCGGCCTGCGAGGGCCAGCCCAGCGGCCGCAGGGTGGCGGG